ATAGTTTATCACAGACAATAAAGATCAAATTTATTCATCAGAAGTGATTAGAACTGTATGATTTGGTGTCGTTAAATTGTGTATTTACTTGTGAATATTTTGGTATACAGCTTGTGCCTGTACTGCTCTTGCGAAGTGGAAGCTGTCTTGGGAATAAAGTCGTTAGCTATTCACGCACGAATGACGCATAGAAGAAATGCTAGTGAAGCGGCTCGCTAGATCAAGGAGCTGAGGAGATGTACGGCTTCAAAAAGAACGGCTAGGAAATGGCTCGCGAACTGAAAGCTGGAGAGAGAGTCTAAAGGATCAGTTTGCGCTCGGGACTACCTCAGGAACTTCCATTATTCTTGAGCGACGCTTCATTAGCATTTTCCTGATGCACCATTCGCGCATGAGTAGCAAGCAACTTTCTTCCCACTACAGCTCTGTCTCAAAGACATTCATAGGTAAGTTGTATGCCAAAATGTTCGCAAGAAAAGTGGTGGCAATTGAACCGTTAGCCCCCAACCATATGCGTTGCATACATTTGAAGAGGACAATGCATGGCTTGCTCACGGCTGAGATCTTTATGAGCTTTACTCCTGTTATTTTATCTTACTTTCAATGCAAGTATATTTTTCGAATGAAAAAAAATATTGCTTACTATACCAGAAAAGTTGGATGATGGGATTACCGAATGCGTCATCGTCAACAGCACGGGGTCAACGGTCTTAGCCACTGCGAATCACATGTCAATGTATTAGGTCTCGTTCTTCCATTAGTTTAAAGATCAAATTTATTCTTCAGAATTGATTAGAAATTGTATGATTTTGTGATCGCTTCAAGTTGCGCATTTTCCTTCGTGAACATTGTGATATTACACTTTGCCCACACTTCTCTTCAAGGTGGAAGCATGTCTTCCGGAATAAGAGGTTTTTTGGCTAGCTTATTCACGCACGAATGACGCATAGAAGAAAATGACTAAGGAGGCGCCTCACTAGATCAATGGAGCTTCAGGAGATGTAAGGCTGCAAAAAGAACGGCTAGGAAATGGCTAGCGAACTCTAAGCTGGAGAGAACAGTCCAAAGGATCAGTTGCACTCGGGCTTCCACAGGAAGCTCCATTATTCTTGAGCGATGCGCTCACTAGCATTTTCCGTGATGCAGCATTCGTGCATGAGTCAAGCAAATTTGTTCTTAATACAGCTCTACCTCAAAGCATGTAAAGGTAAATTGCATACCAAAATGTTCGCAAGAGAATGCGCAATTGAATGATACCAAATTCAGGCAATTTTATTTATTCTGGTATTGAAATTTGGTGATCTAATGCTCCAGTGCCAAAATATATGGATTGACTTAAGAGCAACTACTCCCTCCAGCACTTGCCAGTCTCAGGAGCCTTCACGGTTTTAATTAGCTTTCATTAATATAATTATGTTAAACTAGAAACATTACAAAATATAATGGCGATTGGTCCAGAGGCATGTGGCCAAGTGTAATGAACGAAGCAGTGCGAATGCTGCTACTGGCCGATTGGATCTCACTTCGTCTCCGCATTTCAACCGCTTGCCAAGGTGAGAGCTCAAGTGTGAAGAGGTTTGAAATAAACCATACATTCATTCAAATTATGATTACCACGAATTCAGATGGTCAGCAAACCATGAGGCACATATAGATTGGTGTACAAAAGTACACATACTAGCAGACTGAGATTTTTATCCAAAATCAATTTAATTGACCGCCTATTGCGGTGTTATGATGTTATCATAGACACCATTGATGTAGAGTGGTGTGCAAAAATGTTTGCGTCAGGCGGGATATAACCCAGATCTTACTCTTTCCGGGAGCATGTGCTTAACCGTTGCACTCTGACGGCTGACGCAACGTTTTTGCACACCACTCTACATCATTGGGTTTATGAGATTTTCATCTTGAAAATGTTCGGAACAATTTTCAAATGTAAAGATGGAAAAAACGACCATATCTATGATATGCTTCTTTCAAAATTTCATCATAGGCATAGTCAACATTTTTCCTCTCGGAATTATAAAACTAAGGGGCGCCGTGGCCAAGTGGTTGTGATTCCACGCGCGGCGAGCATGGAGCCAAGCTCCAGCTTCCATCACCCTCCGACATTCAACAGAAACACCATATGGAACGCCACAACTAGGTTATAATCGAGAATGCAAAGAGACATGCTCGACTACTGTCCTAGTCATTTAAGAAGAAAACAAAAAACGAATCGAATGCTAGTACTGGGATCCACCAATGAAACTGTGATGACGGATCGTGTAAATATTCAAAGCTAGGTGCATAAGACTTAAAAGAGGGTCGGTTTTTCTCAACTCTTTCGGGACCACAATTGAAAAGCCGCGCGCAGCGCGACTCGGCTGTCAACATGCGAATCTGGCCATTTCATTTGGCCTAGGAGAATAGAGTGGGTGAGCAAAAACGCGGCCTCAGGCGTAAGTCGAACCCGAGTTTCATCCATACCGGGGACAATTGTGTCGTAGCTGAGGTGATGAAGAATGAGTGGTGGCGCAAAGGCACCTCGGTGGTGTAATGGTAGTAGCGCGCGTCCCCAGTATGGATGAAACACGGTTTCGATTTCCGCTTGAGGCCGTGTTTTTGCTCACCACTCAGTTCTCTCAATTCTCTTAGGTATATATGTAACATCATAACAGTGCGAAAAAATGCAGTACTAGAATTTCGGAGCATTACATTTCATAAGAATTTTTTCCGTTGTGCTAATAATTCTAGGTTTCTTATAACACTTCATTACTTCACGATTTGACTACGCACTCATGTGCTTTGGATGCTATTGGAACTCTTCAGAGTGAATGAAGCTCTTTTTCACTACGAATTATAGTGTTGCTGGACTCCTGTCACTTGTAATAAGTTAAATAAAGAATAATATGACATAAATCTGTTTTTAATATATTTTATTACATACAGTGCCCGAATAATTAGTTCGTCAAAAAATAATGTTGCCCAGTGCATGCGATGTAAGGTTATCATCAAGCATAGCAAAACTCTTTTGGGACGAAGCCTTTTCGGTAGAAAGAGGCTTTACCTTAGACGTTAGCAAACATTCTATAGCTCAGATCTCGAACACACAATAATATGCTAACATGGCAAGAAACCCTTCTTGATGAGCTGTAACAACAAAAACAAAATAAATCACACTAAGTTTCTCTGTTAGTCCGGCAGGGGTACGTGGTTAGCTTTTCATTTGAAGTTTCGGTACTTTGATAGCTCATTTTATGATAACTAGAGCTAAACTTTGGTTCAGAAAGTTTATATAAGGTGCTATAAGAGCAAAAAGAAATTTACGGTATACTCTGCTCATCTTTGCACATGAGACACATGTATCAAAAGCATATAGGCGTGTAGACGGAATACTGTTGTATCAGAGCTTCAAAATAAACTGAAGGCTTTCTGAGAAAAATATCTGAATGCATGACTAGAAAACACGCTTCCTCGAATGGCGCTGGGTACACCCTTCTTACAACTGATTTCTTATCCGATTTGGAAATATTTTTTGGTTGTTTGCAAGTGTAGAAAAATTTTGATTCCATGCTATAGATATTACCATCTCATTTTTTCTTCATTTGACAAATGAACTCGCTTTGATTTTCAAGCCAGTGGCTGATTAACGCTTTAACCAGGAACCATCATAACACGGAACTGCTACAAGGAGCTATCACAATACGGAACTGCCTATAAAGGTCCCTCCTCCGTTCATAATTCATGATAGGAGCCGATAATTTGATAGCGTCTACTGAGTTAACCACTTGTGTTGCCTGGCTTTTCCAGTCAGCCATTCTGATACTAAACTCTGTTCTTGGGAAGTCATTTGCAGCACCGACAAAGAGTATATACGTTCCACACTTGGCGTTCATGCGTTCATTATCTACAAGAGTGGCGTCTGTACTTGTATTTTTGCCAGATTTTAATGATAATTCATAAATCAATAAATGTGAGAGATCTTAGCAGCTCTGAGAGCGATATAAGAGCGAAAAAACTACGTTTTGCACTCGAAGCAATTAACGCGTTGGCGACGGTTGAACTCGCTGCGAGAGCCCTTATCGTTAATTATCCAAAACTTTCCTCTATATGAAATAGTTTTTTTTTGCTGCTGCAACGCACTAACAAAGGCTAAGTAAAGTATCCAGATCACTGAGATCTGATCTATCAACCGATTACAAAAATGTAGAGTTTGGTTTTTCTCCAGCGCAAGTCCCAGTCGCGAAGTGATTGGTAGTACTTACTAACGCAAAATGGATTGTTCCGTGAAGAATAAAAATCATATCAAAGAACATTCTACCATGACCACCCATCCCGTATATGATGACTTTGCCAAAAGAGCTTCTTCATTTGAGCGGTATACACCAGAAGAGATTCGGCTCGGTCGACAACGGAGGACCAGAATGAGGGCGAACGACTGTGAGCAATAGGCTCGAATCATCTGCTCTGAAGAAGACAAAGACCGAAATATAGTCGAATGAATTTTTCTTACCTATAAGTTTCTACATGCTTTATCAGCAAGAAAGACCTTATCGACGGTCCAAAAGGGTGATAATGAAACATTCCATCTTGAAAATACTGTTTCCTCTTCTTGAAAATTTTCTACCGAGGAGATTATCCAGAAGTTCGTGCTTCGTTTTCTTCAGTCATTGTTTTCCTGACATTTTTCTTCAAACGTGTACTTGTAGCGACGATTTTTTGTCGGTCATGTTTTTTTTTTTCTCTCATATTTGGGAAGATTGGGATCTTATAACGCAGCAATTGAAACGCGATAGTAGGGGCCCAGTTTAACCGTGACCCGTGAGGAAGTGAAGCATTCACCTCTGTTTAGCGATCGCTTTCACACTTCTCGTTCTCATTCAAGATTTAACTTATATTTGTCCCCATCGATTAAATTCCGACTGCTTTTAAAGGACAGTATGTTATAGAAGTAGCGTAAGAAAAGCCGCATCGCAGTAAACGGATAGGCCAATTTCGAAGCTCGTTAAAGAGTTTAGGAGCTGTGGAAACATCTGACTCATTATTGCCTCTGAGTACTTCTGCTGAGTGATAAAACCCATATTGCCTTGTGAATAATCTAATTCAAAGTAACAGAAGAATACTGCGCTTTAGGTGTTGAAAAGTTCTAGAGCTATGACAAGATTTTCGGGCCTTCTGATTTTGCTGCTATCCAACATTTTGGCGGTGTTAGGATGTGGTGTAATGCCACAAGGTCAAGGTAAGATTCAAAAGTTTCTGTTTTGATAAAAATTTATGCAATTTCAAATACAACATTATGATTCTTGACAGGAATTAAGGTACGCTAAAGGCATCACCACTCATAAGCTGTTTGATCCGAGTACAATGGCTGATAAATTTTGAACTTTGTCTAGAAAAAAAAAGAAAAAGAAGGAGAAGAAAGATAGTCCTAAGTAATACATTCAACAGATCTAAATTTTAAAGACTTATCTCGCTCAGCCGAGACGAAGTTGGTAATACAGTAGTAAAAGCAGTAGTAGTAATAACAGTTCGACGGCAATTGACGTTCGGTGCTTGGCACGTACGCGCTCTAATACACTGTTCCAGAAATTTGGCGCATAACTGATGTCTTTTCTGTCGCTTTCAGGACAACTCAAAATCAAACGGAGAAAAAGGGTCATGCTTCGCGTGATAGCGACTCAGTCGTCCTCCGATTCATTTCTGGATTTTCGTCTTAAAGCTTCGAGAAAGTTTATAAGTAAACCGAAGGATGTATGCGTGACTACGCGCTAAACATGATGTCTTTTCTCCGTTCGATCTTCTGACCCAACTTAGGATCGTTATAAAAAGCATTGATAATTCACCGAATCATGTGAAAGTTCAATACAATGTGCGTGTAGGCTCCATAGACGGTGAAGTCGGCGAAACGCTAGTTATAAAACTGCACTACTACCACTATTATTACCAACCTTGCGTCTGCTGATTAAGATAAGTCTTCAATAAGTCTGCATAAATCAATCTTCGATGACGAGATTCAAAAAAGTCGATCTCTTAAATCATCATGCGATCATCCAACACAATAGTTAAGTTTACAATTTTCACGCTAAAGTCACGAAATTTGTTGCAGCTATGACAAGGAACCTCATCTGAGCGGCTTCACATTGCCCAGTGAACATGGTTTTTGACTGCTTCCGCCAGTGCCCCAGTTCAGTTTTCTGGTATCGCATCTACTTCAGATGCAGCTAAATCATTCGTATCTCGCCTTGTATTACAAACAGTAGGTTAGACAGTCTCCGATTGTAGGTTTTTCCGTCATTCATGAGGTGAAGACAGGTAGTCCAAGTTTCTGAGATTTGACACCATCGAAATTTCATGATTTGCTAACGTATCTCGGATATAACTTAATTGATGAGCTTTGTTCCCATAAAACTCAATTAGGTAATTTATTTTTTAGGTGACTGAAGTTCTCGAAATAGCAAGGTCGTAGCGCAGGCCTACCTGATGTTATGATCTCAAACATATTGGATCAGCTCACTGTTCAGATTAATTACGATCCTTTGGAGTGCAAGACTCTTTCTGCTTTGAAGCCAGGAGAGACGATGGGTAGGTTTTCAACCTATAACATAAGCTTGTGTGACTCCACATATGGGCTTATGGCACCAAGAATAACTAACAATGCACAATATAGTTGCGGAAAGACTCTCATGCTAGAAAAAATGTGCAGATGGTTATCGTGAGATGATATCTGTGCAATCAGGGTCATTTCGTAATTTTCCGAGGTTTTTTAGACGGTAATGCATGCATTAGATTACCTTAATATTATCACTGTTGCTACTAAATGTCAACATCAATCAAAGTAACACTAGTTTGCCCGGATACAGGCGGTTTATCCGTTCAGTACTTGTGATACCCCATTTTGACATCTTTCGTGTCAACTCAAGAACCTTAACTTTTGAAGCCAACAAATTAGTTTTGGACTTGCTAGAGATCTCCTCTCAAATCCAAATGTTGTTGACAGCTCACATAGGTGATCTAGGAACAGGCTTCTCCACGATTTCAAAGAGATTGATCCGGCTGGCCATCGGCAACTTCGTGACAAAGAGAAAAACCTCAAGTATCAGCCAAGATTATAGCAAACAATAGACTACCGTAGACGATGTGTACTGAAAACATTAATCGAATGGAAAATCTAGAGATTTCGAATATGTTGGAGGATCGTGTGAAGAAGTGGCTAGTAGTGACTTGCATATAGTGCTCGGCATAGCCTATCATTAGCAGTCGTGTCATTCTTCCTGGCCAAAGCTCGGATTATGAGCAAGAAAATAGCTATATATAGCATATCTATCGTTTCTAGTGTTCTTTCAAGACCGCGCTCAAATTCCAATATGCCAGATAATCATTTTTTTTGAGCCAGCATGTGTCTGCTATATCAGGCTGACTTATAGAGCCGATACACGTGTTTCAACCTTGACGGTATCATCAGTCGGGCGGTACCCTTTTCGTCTTTAGCCAATCCTCTCCGGGACGCTCAGTCCCCTGTACTGAGAGTAGGCGACGACGAACATTTCACACTGCAAGTACAGAGAAAGTCACTGAACAAACAGTGATGTACACTCGATTGCTCTTGGCTGGTATAG